TAGCAGAGATTCTTTGAGGAATCGGAGGCCAGGCTAGCAGAGATTCTTTGAGGAATCGGAGGGCAGGCTAGCAGAGATTCTTTGAGGAATCGGAGGGCAGGCTAGCAGAGATTTTTTGCGGAATCAGAAGGCAGGCTAGCAGAGATTCTTTGAGGAATCGGAGGGCAGACTAGCAGAGATTCTTTGAGGAATCGGAGGGCAGGCTACACAGCTTATCGTACTCGGAAATAAATCTCAGCCACCGTACACCTAATTTCCTGTGCCAACTACACGACGCTCCACTACACACCCGATGCTAACGACGCAAATTTCCGGAACCCGCCGAGTCGTCCGTGCGGATTGGGTCGTAAAGTTCCGTCAAAAGGCATTGACGAGGCAAAACCAGGTGTATTTCTGCTGTCACCATCCCTTTAAACAGCACAAGAACGTGACTGGCATTACCGTATACCTTAAATGACCCTGCAGGTTCCAGAAACGATGAATTTCCAAGTCACCCCAACCTGACAATCACTATTTTTCAGCCGCCGGCGTTGTCGTGACATTTCCAAAAACGCGCCCTAACACCGTAATCCAAACCAGGAGTCATTTTAGAGGACAAATCAGCAAATCCGCTAGTCAGCCTCTCAAATCCGCAAATTGTCACTGCCAGCTTGCCGCCATCTACGCAGGAAGGCTAAGGCTTAAAAATTACTTAAAAGCTTAAAAAATTCGCTAATTTCGGGATTTTCGTGGGTTTTTCTAGATCATTTTAGAAAGAAGCATAAAAAACTAGTCGGTTATAAAATAATGGTTTATAAATTTCTAATACAAAATAGTGTTATATAAAAGTCTGAACAGGGCTTTTTAGATGCCAATCTCGGCATTTTCTCCAATTTTCGGTATTTTGGTGGAATCATTCGACAAAGGATCAATACTAAAAATATACTACGAGTTTTATTTTGAGCTCAAAATAATGTAATATCAAAAAAATAAAGAAAAACAGAAACACCTCCGAAAAGCTAATTTTCGGTATTTTCGACGTTTTTTTCTGTTTTTCGAAGACGCAGTTCGAAAAAGCTTCTAAAAATATACCAAAAATTTTTGGTTTCAACCTAAAATATCGTAAAATAAAATAGTTATAGCAAAAACAAACAAATTTTGGCAAAACTGCTCAACACTAATTTTAATGAAATTCATAATCTTTCCGTTAGCCACTTCAAATTTAAAATTAGCTTGCAAAAACTTAACGAATTCGTATTATTGCCTTTGCCTGCCTTTCATTGCGCCCCCCCGTTAACTCACCTTTGCTAACTACAGACTTCAAAGTTCACCCTTCACCCATGATTATCAGGAAACCTCTGATTTTCAGCGTCCCGTCACGACTACCGTAGGTCCGAAAAACCGTAAAAATCAGCTTGAAATTGGCTGTTTGCTATCTTAACGTGTAATTTCCGGTCTCGTATCCTCCCTAATTCCACTCGGGACACGCACGCCTTGAAAGGGGACAGGTGAGCCACCCACTGATGATTGGCCACATCTCTGGTTCTCTCTCTCTCTCTTTCTGTCTCTTTCTCTCTCTCTCTCTCTCTCTCTCTCGCCTCCCTTATTAGTGCTCTTTTTAGCCACTGCTGACTATAGCAGTCAGGCGGCCCCAGCGGCCAAAAATACGCACGTAATCTGGCGATCCAGTGAAATGTTGTTAGGAGCCGCCCGGAACTTTCGTTTTAAAGGTGGGGTGACAGGGGATTGAATAGAGGGATCCAGGCAGGCTAGCAGAGATTCTTGGAGAAATGGGAAGCTACCGTACTCAGAATACCGCAGTCGATATAATTCAGCAAGTTTCTTCAAAGAACCGCCGAAAATAAGTTTTTGGCATTGTCTGAATCAAAAATTGCGACTGGAGGGGCTGCTGTTTCTGTATTCTGTGAATCACGCTCCGCCTGAATACACAGTACACTCAACAACGACGATGACGGACGGGGAAGAATCGGAATTTTCGAGGGAATCGCGGAAATGTTTGAACGGCAGGGGAAGCTGGAAGAGACAATTCAGGAATCGGGAGTATGGCAGGCTAGTTGTGGAAATTTCGTAAAAATAAAAAATGCAAATGAGGGCGGGAGAGAGGGAGAGAGAGATAGAAGGAGATAGTGAGAGAGAGGGAGAGAGAGAGGGTAAAGAGTGAGAGAGAGCGAGAGAAGGAGAAATCCGCCAAAGTTTATCTAAGGCTTGATGCTTTAATTAATCTTTACAATCGGGTGCGCATGAAGCCTTATTTCCGGGATTTCGTGAATTATCTCTCTCTCTCTCTCTCTCTCTCTCTCTCTCTCTCTCTCTCTCTCTCTCCCTCCCTCTCTATCACTCTCCCTCTTTCATTTTTCATCGGATTAGACGTCAGCAACCCTCGCAAAATATTCTAGGGATCCGTCTCTCCCCCCTCCCGATCAGGGCCGTAGCTGACCCAAAATTTCGGGGGGCGGCAAGGGTTTCGGGGGGGGGCGGCGGTTCAAAAACATCTGCCGTTTACCGCCCTTTTTCAAAAATTTTCAAAAATGAAAGGGTCCCCCCTTATCATTTTTTCGCCATCTGCAGATTTCGGGGGCGGCATGCCCCCCCCCCCCTCCTACGGGCCTGCTCCCGATGAATACCAGATTTTCATCCACCTAGGGACCGGCATGAATAATATTTAAAACTAAGGGCCTACGGTACTTGTTCTTATTGTAGCCATCCAGCGTGCAACTTTGCTTTTTCTTGTTTTTCTTTCCCACCAACTGTACGGTATAATAAGTAGAGACGGGAGGTGTGCAGGGATTATCCCCCTGAGAATCCAAATCCATCCCCCACCTCCCACTCCGTAATTAGTATCGTGTAGTCGTTGAGACCCCCGGAGAGGGAGCGACAGAGCGAGAGAAAGAGCGAGAGAGAGAGAGAGAGAGAGAGGGGAGAGAGAGAGAGAGAAAGAGAGAGAGAGACCGGAAATAGAAGTATAACCACACTTTACGGATTTGATTTGCTCACTGATCACGAAAGTGAAGAAGGGATTATGAAGTTAAAAATATAGTTCTGAAAGGGGCCAGGAAGTTGAGGGCAAACTAGCAGAAATTCTCTGGGGGAATTTGGAGGGTAGGCTAGCAGAGATTCTTTGAGGAATCGGAGGGCAGGCTAGCAGAGATTCTTTGAGGAATCGGAGGGCAGGCTAGCAGAGATTCTTTGAGGAATCGGAGAGCAGGCTAGCAGAGATTCTTTGAGGAATCGGAGGGCAGGCTAGCAGAGATTCTTTGAGGAATCGGAGGGCAGGCTAGCAGAGATTCTTTGAGGAATCGGAGGGCTGGCTAGCAGAGATTCTTTGAGGAATCGGAGGGCAGGCTAGCAGAGATTAGTTGAGACTATTACTGCCAAAAACCGGATGCTAATTAGCATAATCTGCAAAAACCAGTGAAAATGCCAGCTCGTCCTCCATCATTTCTTACTCTTATCTACGAGTCATGCGGTCGTCTATTCTATTTGTTTGTCTGATTGTTCTGGCTCTTCTTGGCCTTGGCATTACGGTATTTATGAGTGGACGGTTGCATATAGCATTTTTAGCAATCAGCTGGCCAAGCCCCCGTCAAACGGGACAACCCGAAGAAATACGGTAGATTTTCTGGAGCCCCACCCCCCCCGCTAAACGAGAAGAACCGGCCATCTTCCAGATTCACTAGGGCTCTTGATTTCCGCGAGAATCCCTGCCAACTTGCCCTTTTTCAGGAGTCTACCACCCGAGGCGACTATTTGCTGAAAAAACGGGGTCGGACCTGCCAAAACTTCAACGGGGTCCCGTCGCGGATATTACAGAGGCAAATACAGATCCTGGTGAGGATATGCCGAATCTCTGCTAGCCTGCCCTCCGATTCCTCAAAGAATCTCTGCTAGCCTGCCCTCCGATTCCTCAAAGAATCTCTGCTAGCCTGCCCTCCGATTCCTCAAAGAATCTCTGCTAGCCTGCCCTCCGATTCCTCAAAGAATCTCTGCTAGCCTGCCCTCCGATTCCTCAAAGAACCTCTGCTATCCTTGTCATTTCCAGCTTCCCCCTATCCCGCCGCTCCAACATGGGCCATCGTCTTCATCGCCATCCAAGGTCTGAATCCAAATCTGGCGGAGCTTTTGCGTTATCGGGGGGAAGCAGATTTTTTCCATGAGCTTTGAAGCGTTTAGTTACGTAATAGGCATATTTTATAGCGTTTTTAAGAAAATTTAACTAGATTTCAAGCGGCAAAACTATTTAAAGAAGTTTAAAAAATTCAAAATTTTGGTCAAAATTGGAATTTTGCGTTTTTTCGCCAAAATGTGTATATTTTTTCCGTCTAGGAATAGCCAAAAAAAGAGTTTCGAAACCCTTCTCTAGTTATATTAGAGAAAATTGGATGCTATCGAAAAAAGCCCCCCCGATGAAGCAAAAGTGCCGCCTTCTCAGCGCCTTTACTCCTTTTCTTTTCAGGTTTTCTGTTCGGCATCTTTTCCGTGTACTTCATCTGTGTCTCGAAACTCGTCTGGAAGGCGCCATATAGCTGCTTGAAAAGTGGGCTCTCTCGAAATTTACCGTAACCCATCCTTCTTTCAGCCCCCAAGAAATTCGAAAGGACGCCACAATACCTGCCCGCCTTCTACGACTTCACAAAGTCAAACTGAACCACGAATTTGTGTTGATCTTTGAATAAATGAATTTCGATTTCGATTCGGTTGTTAGGGGTATTGTCGCGGATTTTCTCGATTTTCGGTACTGGGCTGTTAGCGGGGGGAAGGGGGTTTAGTCTAGATACTTTACTGATGCTAAATAATGTATTTTGTTTTAGTAGGTTTTGATTGCGAGTAAAATGGTTGACTTTTTTTAGTAACCGGAAACTTTGTTCATTTTTGACATTTTTACGCTTTTTATATCCAAAAAGTGTGAGACGAGCGAGAGCGAGAGAGAGAGAGAGAGAGAGAGAGAGAGAGGAAGCAAGATAGCGATAGATATCAGATAAAGAACACGCCTTTTACATTCAATAGTTGATAACTTTCAATAACAACGCCTTGATTTGTCGCGCTTCGTAGAGTACCGTCTTCCGAGCCGATTCGATCTGAAATATTCGGGTTTTCAACATGCGTTACTGTAAAATCGGCAAAACGTGGGGTTACGGTAACCCTTCAAAATCGGCCTGAAATATCAATTCCAACGCACCGGCTGCAACTCCATGAGGGGCCCGTCGAGTGAGGTGACGATCTCGCGGCCGTTCGCTGCAAAATATATTTAAGAGCGTCTCTATCGTCTCAAGTACGTGACTGTACAAACTACGAGTATACCGTACCCTCAGCTTTGTCCAGGAATTGTAGCACTTCGTGGACGACGGCATCTCGCATTACGACCATCTGAAAAAGTTTTCGTTCTCGCTCTCTCTCTCACTCTCTCTCTCTCTCTCTCTCTCTCTCTCTCTCTGTCTAACTCTCTCTTTCTTTCTCTCGCTCAGATGCTCACTCTCATTCTCATCCCCTCTCTCTCTCTCTATCCCTGTCTCTCAGTATCGCTATCTCTCCCGCTCTCTCTCTCTCTCTCTCTCTCTCTCTCTCTCTCTCTCTCACCTGCTTCGCCATCGTCTCTATCATCGCAATCAAACATCGTTTGGCATAAAACCAAGTATCCGTCCCCAGCTTCCTCTCAAACGGCTCCATCGCCTTGATCACCCTCGACACTCCAAACTCGAAATTCCCCTAGATACCGAGCTACAAAGTACACCTCTAAACACTGACCTTGCTACAGTACAACGTGCCGATCACCAGATTAATGATGCACAAATGGAATGTCTTCTTCGTGTCTCCGATGGCTTCCTCTTCCCTTTCCACTTTTCGCATTAATTCTTCTGCCTGAAAAACAAAATTTTACGCATATTAAATTGAATTAAACTAATTTTTAATTTTAATATGCACTTTTTAAGATTCCAATCGATTTACCTACCTCCTCATTTTGATTCGTCATTATATAGCAAACGCAGAGATTGGCGAGCACGATTGCCGAGATTTCGAGGATCTGAAGTGGTTTTATGCAACTTTTGGGCGCTGGTCTGTTAGCGGGGGGGGGGGCTTTTTCTAATATAAAGGCAGGAGGTTTTTATAAACTGTTTTAACTATTCCTAAACGTAAAAACTTTACACCGTTGTATTAAAAAAAACAGAAAAAGATCGATTTTTCAAACAAAATTTAGATTTTTCTAAAAATATTTGGTAGATAGTTTTTCGCTTAAAATATAGTTACATTTCACGAAAAACACTATTATAATGCTTCCCATTACTTTAATTGGCATTTCTGGGCTCATAGAAATAATTACCCTCCCCCCCCCGATAATGCAGAAGCACCAAAAGCCCCGCCAATCAAGACCCACATTATCGTAGTGCTTGTTGACGATGGGCTCGTAGAAACCGGCAGCCTCTTTGAATTTTTGCTCCTGCAAAAATTTACCGCATTTTCCAAATTACACCTACTTGCATGAAAAGCGTATGTGCGACATTCAACTTCCAGACGTCGTGCTCACTCGCGAATTCTACGGATTTTCTGAAAAAATAAAAATAACTAGAACACTTTCGTTATCAAAATTCACCTAAAAATCTTCTCGACTTGGCTGTAGTCCTGTTGATCCCAGTAGATTTTCGCCTGCGACATTAGCACGGGAAGATATCTGAAATTTTGAAAATAAACTATATTTTGGTTCTTGTGCATTATCGGGGGGAACCGAAATTTTTTGAGAATTGAATAGTCTGTAAAAATGCGATTGTTTTTTTGTTTGGGAGTAGTGAAAACAGCTCAATGTTTTAAGTTGCTTTTTTACTACTGTAGTTCGAGCGGAAAAACCATCTAAAAATTTTATACATTTGAAATTTTGCTAGAAAATCGACGGTTTTTGTTTGAAAAATCGATATTATGTATTTTTGTCAAAAATGTGTAGTTTTTGCGCTTAGGAAGAGCAACGAAGGTTTCAAAAATTTGATCTTAATGAAAAGGTATCCCCCCCCCGCGATAACGCAACAGCATCGAAAAATTCAAAGCTATTACCGCTCCAACGCCTCATCGTACGCGTCTACCGCCTTCCGGATCTGATCATCATCGGCCGTCTGGCGAATTTCCTGAAAAAATTTGTCTTGAAAGTCTATGCACGCCAAGATACCTGGACCCGTTTCGTCAACTTCCTCAGCTCGTTCGTCACATCCTGGCCCATCGCGTCGAATTTCTGGTAAGCGTCGAGCGGTGAGGTTTGCATGTTGATTACCGCGTCCAGGTAGTCGTATAAATACTAAAAAAATATTTATAGAACTCTAAAATGCTAAATAAAACCTTGTTTTAACTTGGAAAAAATTCCAGAAAAAACGTACCTGGCTTAGATGTTTGTAGGTGAGATGCGCGTTCTCGGCAAGTACGTCCGCCGCCAGGTCGATGTACTAAAAGCATGGTTGTGCACATTCTTTATATATCTAAAATTATGTCTCTTATTTACTAAAAAAAAATCAAATTGATACATATAATAAACACAAAAAAAAAACAAACATAAAAAGTTCCGAAAAATTTTTACTTTTTGATGAAGAATTTATGAAAAATAGCATTTTCCTTACTTTTTACACAGGAATCATAAAAAACTCACCTCATATTTGCAGTACAACAATAGTAGATTGGCGAACGTCTCCGGGGGAAATGGGTTCTAAAACGCTATTGAAGAAAACTTGTAAAGCCGATACCTGGCTGAGCAGATACTGTAACTTTGCGAATCCATCACCCGGAGCGAGATCCATACCGATTAGGGCCTGGAAAAAAAGCGCTACATAAAAGTAATTTAAAGAATTTGAAGAAAAAATGGCAGATTTTCGAACAACATTTTAAAATTGTATCATTTTTTAGATATTTTTTCGCTTGAAACATACTATAAATACTGTTAAAGCAGTTACCATGAGGTTACTAGCCATTTCCTGACTTATCCAAAAAAAATAGCTTACCCTCTGATAATGCAAAGGAACCACGAGGTTATAAAACTATAGAACAAGCAAAGCCTTATTGAGCAGAATACCTGATTATGTAAAGTAACAGCATCCAATTCCTCCTCGCTCCTCGGCGGCATATCCGTCAGCGCCTCCGAGGCCGCGTCCACTAAAAAAGTACGTTTTAAAAAGTTAAAAGTTAAAAGGTCATAAAAGTAAGTTTTAAAGGAAGTAAAGTACGTAAAAACTGACAATTCTTGAGGCGATACTCGATGGCAAACTTCAAATTGCAGGCCTCGATGAGGGCGGTCTCGTGGAGAAGTAGACTATTCCCAACCGAACGCACATCTAGCCCTTCCGTCACCATACCAACGTGCAATTCTGAAATTACGTTAAAGCGGTGGCATAAAAACCTTTATACACTTTTTCATTACATAAATATCTATGGCCGAATTGCGACCAAAATTCGAATTTTAAAATTTTTATAGTTTTGCCACTTGTAATATAGCTAAATTCTACTAAAACACCAGTAAAATACTCACTATTACACTACTATGCATTTCTGGGCTCATAAAAAATGCACCCCCGATAATAGAAAAGTACCATTTTTGCCACCAGATTCCTGCAATTTTCCCTTCTGGTCCTAATAAACCACGAAACCTCAATTTATGCATTCCAAGATCATTCACGCGGAACGGTCCACCTGGCAGCAACAATCCATCATTTTCCGGATCTCACTGGCCCCCTCCCACTTTTCTTCCCCGCTCGTTCTCCACACTATCTTGGCAAGAGCCCCAACCCCTCAATCTCCAGCTCAAATGTCCCGCTGCCCCTTATTTTTCTGTACCATATTGCTGCTAGCTGCTGCTCAAAATGATACCAGTATTGCCGAGGAAGGCACGGTACACGACTTGGATTTGTTCAAAATTTTTGTACAAGTTTAGACAGCCGAACCCTCGACCGATGAGGGGATTAACCCATTAATACTGTCGATGGGCATCCATCAAGACCAGGGTAAAATAGGGAATATTGGCAAATTTTTTGTATAAGTCACGAAAAACTCAATAATGTATTAGAAAATATTTTAATAGTGCTTTTAGTAAAATTTAACCATACTTCAAGTGGCAACCATCTAAAATATTGCTTAAATTTTGAAATTTTGGTCAAAAATTGGTATTTCTAGTCGATTTTATGTTAGAATCATCATTTGTAAAGTTTTTACGTTTATTAATATAAAATACAGGGCAGAAACGCTTCTTGTGTTTATATTAGAAAAATCGACTAGGAAGAAAAATGTAGAACTTTTTTAGAAATGGAACTTTTGGCGATTTTGGGCTAAATCAAACGTTCTAGAAAATGACCGCGAACTTTTTATTAATTTTCTGACTTAAAACGGTGCAAAAAGGTATAAAAATGGTATAGATTCCCTTATTAGGACCCTACTTGTTAAGCATAGGGCAAATCCCGATTCCCCCCCTCCCGCCGCTAACAGTCCAGAACCAAATTTCTAGAGTGCGGCGCAAATGAATATTTCGCGAGTTGCGGGAATGCGTGTGAACCGCAATGTGGTGATGATGAAAAGGTGCGGGGAAGTGTTTTTTGGAGGGATTCAACCCTTGCGATCTGTTTATTTTCGTGAATTTAGGCATGTGCGGAAGAATGTCAACCCGGGGCTTGCCACTGTGAGACCGGCTATTATCGCTCTCCCTTCGGACGATGTGTACTCCCATATTTGTGCGAATAATGATAAAAATACGCTCGAAACAAATAATTCTTTTTTCCAAGGGGATCTCTGCTAGTTTTCTATCAATTTAACTTACCAGGATGGTCCTTGACGCCCTTGTCGATGATATCGGAGATGTACTTCAGTGCCTGCGGGTATTCCTTCTTTCGATAGTGACACAGAGCTTGTGCGTACGCCAATTCCGGCTAAAAACGGCCTATTACAACGGTTTCAAGCTTACCTGATACCCAAAGGTCCCGGTAGCACGGTTGAACCGTTCCAGCGCCTTGTCGTAGTGCGCTTCCTAGAATTCGATTAGTTATTAACTTGTAAAAACCTTGTAATCCAAACACGCCAGATTCACTTCAATATCCGCGTCGTCCTGGGGGAATTGTTCGACGAGAATCCGAGCATTTGTCAAGTCTTCTTCCCTAAAAAATTGTTTTGTGCCTTGTGCTCAAATTTCCTGAATATCAATACAAAAAAGTGTTTCTACGCTGTTTTTATTATTCCTAAACGTCAAACATTACTAATTTTTGTTAAACTATACAAAAAAAAATATAGAGTTTTCGAGAAAAATGGCTGCTTTTTGACAAAGATTTTAATTTTTTGATATTTTTGTCAGTTTTTCGATAGTTTCCGTCTTGAAATGATTAAATCTTGCTAAAAACGCTATTAAAATACTTAAAATTACGTTACTAGAAATTCTCGCGCTTACAAAGAAATATGCGAATGGTGATGATGCAAAAACATGTATTTTCATAGCGTTTTTAGTGGTTTTAATGGCTAGAAAGTTATAAATATTCACACAAGCTGTCTAGACTGTACAATTATAACTAGATCTAGCTTTTTTAAGCTCAAACCTATACCTATACTTGATCGCAGCTTCGAGCTTGATCACCTCCCCCAGAAATCGGGGGTCTTCGATCTGAAAAAATAAACTAACAAAAAAACCCCCAAAAAACTTACAATTGACGCAACGGCCATTGCTTCTGGAAACATAAAAGCATTATACAGCGACTGTGCATAATACAATTTGTACTCGGGAAAACCCGGGTAGAGCTGCGTCAATTGTTCATAACTCTCGACGGCACCGTGGAAATCTTGGGTGTAGTATTGACAATAGCCGAGTAGTGACAGCGCGGCTCGATTCTAAATTTAGGTAACCTTATTGCTATACGAAAGTGTTTTTAGATTGTTTTTACTATTTTGAAACGTAGAAACTTGACAAATACAAGAAAGATCGATTTTCCGACCAAAAATGGCCGTTCTTTTGAAGAAAATTTCAGAACTGCAAGTGTTTTTGGTTCATTTTTCACCTGAAATATAGTGCAATTTTCCTAAAACACTATTTAAACACTTACTATCACCTATATAGGAATTTCTAGATTTGGAGGAAAACCTCCGATAATGCCAAAGAACCAGTATAAGTAGCCATTAGGTAAAATTATATCTTACCGATGGGCTACGCTGCAATTCATACTGCAGGATGCGCATCACTTCCGTGAATTTGCTGTCTTTGATCTAAGAAAAAGGTTTGGTAGCTAAAAGCGGCGCTGAAAAGCCCTGAAAAAATACTATGTTTTTTCGCTTACCATGCCGTAGATAGTACTGGTGAATTCGCCATCTTTAATCGGGACGAAAGACATTTTTATTAGATCCAATTTATGGCAAATGGAAAGTCCCTTTTACCGCTTCTGCGTGTTACCATGGAGATCCGACGCGATTTTTTTTAGACTGAGATTTTGTGGGTAATTGAAGCTCCGGATGTAGGAAAATGTGTAGTTCATGATCGTTTCTGATTTACCTGCCATCAAAAAGAAAAAATCCCGATTTTCCACTTTATTTAGCACTTACAGTAATTCTACGATTTGCAAGTCTGCGGCGACGACGCGCCAATACAATTGCCGCCGCTATCGGCAGCGCTGTGCGCAACAAGCAGCGTGCTTTATATTCGCGAGGGCGCAATGTGAGAAAACACTAATCGACCAAGTCGTTTCAAAACTTAAAAAAAAAAATCAATAATTACCGCTTTGATATAAAGGTCAATGGATTGTCATTTAGTCCTTACATCATTAGCTCACATTTCCCCTCCAATTTTTCGATGCTTTTCCACTGAATCTTTCCCTAATTAACTTAAAACAATTCCCATTTTTTCAGGAAGATGCTGAACCTCCAAAAGCGTATGCAGGGCGTCGATGAGGACAAAAACTACCGCGAGAAGCACAACGTCATCCGCGACAAGCTGTTGGCCCAGGAGGTGAAGGAGCTCGACCAGAATTTGAGGAACCAGAACGTCTGCCGCGTTCGATTCACCCAATCGCCTGCATTGCACGAAATCGAGCTCCAAATTACGCCCCAGGAAGGGCTCTACAAGGGCGGCACCTACAAGTTCCACATTTCCGTCCCGCTCGAGTACAACACGGTGCCGCCGCACGTGAAATGCTTAACGAAGGTGTGGCACCCAAATATCAACGAGGATGGTTCGATTTGCCTGTCGTTGCTCCGCGAAAATGCCGTTGATGATTTTGGATGGCGGCCAACGCGAAATATCCTCGAAGTGGTCCACGGGCTCCAATCGCTTTTCGGCGATCTCATGGATTTTGATGATGCCCTGAATATGGAAGCCGCCAAGCAATACACCAGCAACAAGAACGAGTTCACGATGAAGGTTCAGGACTACATTCGCCGTTACGCTCGTTAAGCCAGCGGATATTAATCCTTTTAAGCCCTTTTCTCATTACATTTCGACTTTTTGCCTGTGCCCATTCGACATGTTGTCTTCTGCGTTTTCCTTATATCACTCACTGTTCCAACTTGTTGACCGATTTGCCGCTTCAAAGTGTTCACCCCTTTCCATTGTTTAGGGTTGTATGTACGAATTTTTACAAAAGTCATGCTCGCTATCGTCATCTAGAATTTTTCATTTGTGCCGGTTAAGCTTTCCAATTACTTTCCTTGCGGCTGATACACGATGTTTTTACGAAAATAAATTTTCAGGTCCGCTCGTCGTCATGGCATCATCGGCGATCTTCATACTGGACCTCAAAGGGAAGGTAAGGGTTGCGCTTTCTAATTCTTTGTATTAAAAATAGCCGTAGATACCATTTTTTTAGGTGATTATCGCCCGGAACTATCGGGGTGATGTCGATATGGGCGTCATCGACAAGTTCATGCCGCTGCTCGTAGAGAAAGAGGAGGAAGGCATGGTTACTCCGATCCTCATCCATCACGAGGCCACCTTCGTCTTCATCAAGCACAGCAACCTTTACTGTAGGTTTTCAAAAAACCAAAAACCTTAATCCGAGAAATCCCGAGCGACCGATCGAATTATAAAAATTTTCAGTCGTTTCAACGTGCCGAACAAACGTCAACGTCTCGCTAGTACTGTCTTTTCTCTACAAATCAGTCGAGGTAATAGCTTCTTTTAAAGTTTACCAGCATCTTAGGTTTTCACCGATTACTTCAAGGAGGTGGAAGAAGAGTCGGTGCGCGACAACTTTGTCGTGGTGTACGAGCTGCTCGACGAGATGATGGATTTTGGATTCCCGCAAGTTATGGACAGCAATATTCTACAATTGTAAGCAGATTTTGGATATTTTGAACCCAGTGATCTTTAGATATATTACCCAAGAGTATCACAAGCTCGAAAAAGCGCCGCGGCCACCGATGGCCGTCACCAATGCGGTCAGCTGGCGAAGCGAGGGGATAAAATATCGGAAAAATGAGGTGTTTCTGGACGTTATCGAGAGCGTTAATATGCTGGTAGGTCTCCAACGGAAAACGAGAAGAAAGACAAGAAATAAGAGGGCAAAAACATATGCGAAAAATGGTTCAGGCTTCTGCAAACGGCACTGTTCTCCAATCCGAAATCGTGGGTGTCGTGAAGATGCGCGTCTACCTGACCGGGATGCCCGAGTTGCGTCTGGGCCTCAATGATAAAGTGCTGTTTGAGGGCAGCGGACGTAGGTGTTTGTTTTGTGGAAAATTGGGCCGATTTTTGTAAGTGGCGTTAAGCCCACAATATGAAAAATCAATCAGCTATCAGCTGTTTAGGCGGAAAGAGCAAGTCCGTCGAACTGGAGGACGTCAAATTCCATCAATGCGTGCGGTTGTCAAGGTTTGAGAGTGATCGAACGATTGCTTTTATACCTCCAGACGGCTCGTTCGAATTGATGAGCTATCGGTAATATCTTTTTCACTTCGTAAATTTTACTCTAGGCTAAACACCGTTGTAAAGCCGCTGATTTGGATCGAGACTTCTGTGGAGCGGCATTCCCACAGCCGAGTGGAATATATGATCAAGGCGAAATCTCAATTCAAACGAAGATCAACAGCTAATAATGTAGAGGTGAGTGTCGCCGGGATCTTTGGCATTATCGGGGAGAGGGGTGTTTCTTTTGGTTCCAATTTTTCAGTATAAATAGATAAGACTTTTTCGACCTTTTTTGCTATTCCTAAACGTAAAAAATATGTAAATTTTGCGTAACAACGAATAAAACGATAGCTGTTTCGACCATATTGTCAAATTTGGAAAGTTTTTTTAGATAGTTTTGCACTGGAAATATCGTTGAATTTACTCAAAACGCTATTAAAGTGCGTAACAATACGTTACTAGGCATTTCTGCTCTAATAGCAAAAGTTTAAACCCCCCAATAATGCAAAAAAAACCTAAGTTTCTTACACATATCTCTCCTTTAGGTCATCATCCCGGTGCCCTCCGACGCTGATTCCCCAAAGTTCAAAACAAGCATCGGCAGCGTGCGCTACACCCCCGAGCAGTCAGCATTTGTATGGACCATCAAAAGTTTCCCCGGTATTGAATTTTAATGGAAATTTTATTTTGTTTTAGGCGGTAAGGAATACCTGCTCTCGGCGCACTTTTCCTTGCCTTCCGTCGTCCGTGAAGAATCGGAGGGGCGCCCGCCGATCAAAGTGAAATTCGAGATCCCGTATTTTACGACTTCCGGAATCCAGGTTTGTTAATTTCGGAAACTCATCTATAAGTGGGGATTTCCCTAGTAAGGTAATGGAAAATATTATCATAACTTTTTTCTCTGTTTGTTTTATTTGACCCGAAAAGATTTAGAACTTAGAAATTACTCAAAATTTGGGATTCGGCAGAAAAATTTTTGTATTTCTATTTTTTTTAATAAAGTTTGTAGAGTTTTATTGCTTTAGCTATATTAGAAAAAGTCACTCCTCCGATATTCCCAACGAACTTGAGAAGTTCTAATTTTCTCCTTTCAGGTCCGCTACCTGAAGATCACCGAGAAAAGTGGCTATCAATCGCTGCCCTGGGTGCGCTACATCACTCAAAATGGCGAGTACCAGATGAGGATGAAATAAGTGTTTTTGTAATTTTTAAATTACTTCCCCTCCTTATTTTTGGATTTATTCTGTGTGTATATTTCGCGGGCAGGTGTCCTATTTATTTTCGGCTTTCATTGCAGAATCTCATTTGTCGATCCACACACGGTCCTTTCATTCGCATAATGCAGTTGCCATTAATCCATTGGTCGCTCCTCAACATTTCCAGTTTTTAGGAATCTTTGAGATTGTACCCTAAATCTTCCCACTGTGCATTTTATACACTGATCATCTCGCGTTTACGGTCGCATAATAATACTCCTATTCAGAATTTGGCATAATAAACTGGTTTGATCTCAAGCGATGACCTTTTTCACACATTTGATTTGGTTCAGAGAGAAGTGCTACTTTATGTAGTTGGAAGAAGAGCTGAGTTTTACGGTTCTAATTCATTAGCGGTGAGGGCTAGCTTATTTTATTCAGTCAAATCACTGTTATGTTCAAAAAGGTTTTTTATAGATTTTAGCCGTTTCCAATTACCAAAAAGGTTTTAAAAACTTTGTGGAAAACTAAAACTTTATCATTTTTGGAAAAGGTTTTGTGCATTTTAGATGTAAAAAGGCTCAAAAATGCTACCGTACTACTGAAAAGCTATGAAAAATTCTTCAAAATATTTTTTTTGGCATCTTTGATAAAAAAGACGAGGTTTTACAAAATTCTAAGGTCAGGAGAGAAAATTAAGCAAAATTGAGTTTTCTGCTTGCCCCCCCCCCGCTAACAAACCAGTGCCCTTTATTTTACAGGAGATGTACCGGGCAATGTTGATATTACGAACATCGCAAAATTCGTTATCCGGAAATTTCCGCGGGCTGGCCAGCGCCTCCAGATCGGTATTTTATTATTACAGCCCGAAAACCCTTTGATTTAGGATTCGTATGTTCGACAACATCGTCCCCAAAAGCCGGTCGAGGTCTGGTTTCCGCGAGTTTTTAATTTTTTTAGGTACACATCAGTATCACCTACAATCCGGATGAATTAACATTTGGGCGGCCGATGATACAACGAATAAAGAAGTTTGAGATCCTTGGACCATAAAACTTCGTTTTTTAGAGACCTAGCCGAGCGTAATTGTGTCGTCAGCCTCCCCGAAGAGAGATTACTCGATTTGTTGTCGCCGATCTTTGAGAAATTGCTTGGAAATGGTAACTTGCAGATTAACGGGGTTTAATCGAATTCCCTTAGGGGTTCGGCCCGGCTTCCTCATCACCGAATGTAGTCAATCTGAGCATTTGCTGCAAACGATGCTCAGCGAGGAGACAAACGAGCGCCTCGTGAAGAT